CGGATAAAATGGAAAAAGCTTTTGAAGATGTGTGGAACTCAAAGGACAAGAAAGCCAAGGCGGTTATTACATTGTCATTGACGAAGAGCGTTGCTTTCAACATCATGAATGAAACCACGGCGCGTGGTATGATGGAGGCTCTGTCAAATATGTATGAGAAACCATCGGCGGCTAACAAGGTGTTCTTGATGAAGGAGTTGTTCACTACAAGGATGAATGAGGAAGGCTCAGTTACGGTTCACATTAATAATTTAAATTCAATTCTGTCCAGATTATCATCTGTGGGAATTAAATTTGATAACGAGACTCAAGCATCACTGTTACTAGCTTCTCTACCTGATAGCTGGTCCGGAACAGTTACTGCTGTTACAAGTTCCGTGGGGACCAGTGGTATGACTTTTGAAGGGGGTTAGAGATTTGGTTCTAGGCGAGGATATCAGACGCAAGAATCAAGGTGGATCTTCCTCTTCTGATTTATTAAATGTCGGAAGAGGTAGAGGGAATAGCAAGAATAGTGGAAGCAGTGGGAGTCGGGGAAAAAGTTCTTCTAGAACTTTGAAGAATGTGAAATGCTGGAACTGCCAAGAGGTGGGACATGTTAAGAGTCAATGTCCAAAGAAAGAATTAAACATTGCTGGTGCTGAGAGTGTGTCTGAGGATGATGCACTGATACTCAATATGGAAAGTTCTGTGGACTCTTGGGTCATGGATTCAGGGGCTTCGTTTCACGCCATGGACAACGGGGAAACGATGGTAAATCTAAAAAAAAGGAGATTTTGGAAAGGTACGGTTAGCAAATGACGAGATGCTTCAAGTAACGGGCATGGGAGATATTGATCTAGTTACTTCATTGGAAACTACATGGAGCCTGAAGAATGTCAGGGTTATTCCGGAGCTGAAGAAAAAATTGATTTCTGTTGGTCAGCTGGATAAACAAGGACTGGAAGTAAGGTTTGGTGGTGGTAAATGGATGGTGGTCAATGGTAATTCGGTGATTGCTCAAGGTATGAAGCGTGGGTCATTGTATATGGTTGAGGTACCTACTGAGGGAAGTATGACCATCCCGATTAAGCAAAACAAAATCTGGTTCGCTAAATCTACTGCTAAGAGAGTTCATTTTGCAAACATGAATTCTGGAGCCAAGGGGATGTTAGCTGAACGAGTCGGAAATTCTAAACCATTCAGGGGATTCTGTGACAGTGGGAGCACGGGGTGTGTTCCGGGTACAGTTACAAAGAGCCGTTGGGTTTTGAAGACTAAGACTGGAAAATTCTCTCTTGTTGGAAGTTTGCAAAGTTTGGAGAGTGTTAGTGGTCCTCGGTGTATCTCTGGATCTGGTGGAGTGTCCAAACCGGTTGAGACAGAGGATGAGTCGGTGGTGGGATTAGCCACGACTGAGTTGGAGCTAGTGGGAGCTTCAACTGGCCCTTCTAGTACTTGAAGATGAGGGGCGGCTGCAATTGGAGAAATCAGACTAAGTTTTAGCTTGTTCTTTGGAACTGGAAGCTTGAAGGACTTGGTTGTTTTAAGATTACTGGAGTTGGATGACAGAGACGGACCATGTTGTTCAAGCCTCCAAGTGGGAGATTGTTAAGATTTATGGAGTCTTGAACAAATTGACAAGTTCCTAAGAGTTCAAGGGTCATAAATGTAACATTACATTTAACAATTGAATTATTCAATTGTTGTCGGCAAACGCTTTGAATTAAATATTCAAATGGTCGGTGGACAATTATTTAATATTTGTTGGACGGCTAATGTGAATGGCAAAATTTTCAAAGTCAATCTTTGCGGCAATCCTGTGCATATTGCGGCTCACAAATATACCTATATATATGCATGTATGTTTTGCATATTTTGTGTGCAAAAACTTGAGAGAACATCAAGTGTAGAATGTCAAGCCAATTGTAATCTTGTGAGTTTTAATAAAATTCTCTAGTTGCAGCCCGTGGACGTAGGATTTGCACCGAATCCGAACCACGTAAAATCCTTGTGTTCTTCTTGCTTTATTTTCGTGAGTTTGCGAGTGTGTGACAGTGTGTTTCCGCTGCGTTTACCCGGTCCGATTCCTAACAAAAATCTGACCAGTTACTATTCTTTTTGTATGCAGTTCCTTTTAATGACTTGATCAATTTTTTCGCATCTTGATCCTTTTTTAAAACATTAACAAATTAAAAGAAAGAGATTTCCATAGGATGGGAACTTCTTAAGGAATTTCGAACCATTTGTTTTTGTACAACTGTATGTTTGTATAATGGAGTAATGGCTGAATGTTTTCGATGTTTGTCGTTCATCTTATATTGCCTCTTACATTGACCTTATGTCGGTCGTCTATTTTGGATTATTTCGGTTTCATATTTGAGTTGGTTATTTTTTTTTTAAAGTTGTGGGCTAATTCAATATCATTACCATGTATAAATTTTTTTTTAAATTATGTGTACGTTTTATAATATACTAACACCAAAATCTACCCTTATGCTGTTCGCTTTAAGTATATACTTCACTTAAAAGCTTTTTGGGTTGATCCATTCAGTTCAGGTGGGATAGGATATTCAAAATCTCCCTTGACTTCTAAAAATGTGTCATTTTCCTTGCAATGGCTCCTTCCTTCTATGGATAGTGATGCCAATAGGTACCATATATAAGGTTCTAAAAGAAGAGATTTAACAACCTTTTGTTTTATCCTGGACAATAGTGTGTTAAATTCGCAATATGTTATACTTATAACAATAAGTGGTCTCATGAATATTCAATTCTATAAAGCAATTTTCATAATAATATCACCAAAATGATATGATCACAGTTGCATTAAGCCCCATTAACTCTAAAATAAACACCCCTAACTCCTGTTAGTTCTTGAACACTAATGGGGCATGTCCTTTAGCTTGAGATTTGTTTTCTCAGTGTTTATCATTCACTCGTTGTCCTATTCAACTTTTTATATTTATAATAATTTATTGGGGGGTGGGGGGTGGGGGTGTGCCTCTCTTTCCAAAGTAGTGCTTGAACAATAAACTTCTACATTTTTATGCTTGCGATCGATGAAAAATATGCAGAGAATGGCCATTCAGTATGATCCTCCATTATTTTGTTACAAGTCAATATAGATAACAAATTTAATTGTAATTAACCAATCGTGGGTAATTAACACAAAATTGACAACAAAAGACACATCATGCAAAAATAGTAAGCAAATTACTGAATCAAAATCAAAATCAAGATAAATCAGATCTAGTTGAAATAAGTAAAAAATGAAAATAAAACAAAATTACCTGAAAATTTAACCAAAACGGCTCTTTAATTTCCCCTGCAATTTACTAAAACCGGTTCAAGGCATCATATAACTCTCTCGGACCGGAAATATTCAAATGAAACCCTAACGCCAGTGTTGTAAAACTCACCGAGTTAGCCGATTACTCATCTAAGTACTTGCTACTCGGCCCCTTACCGAGGCTAGTTACAGAATCCCAAGTACTCCCCGATCGGCCTCTTACTGAACTGAGCAGTGTTGTGAAACAGTGTTGTAAAACTCGGTCAATTCGGCGATTAATATGTATAATATACTTAATGATTTATTATTTAACGCACACACATGTGATTATTACTACATATATATCTTAATTTTTCAGTAATTATTCACGAAGTGAAACCATTATGTGTTTTTTCAGTTTTTGTGTATTCATATTTATCTAATTTTGGTTATATATTTCAATCAACTTATGCTTTTAACTTATGATTTTGACATATATAATTTCCCTAAAAATATTTCTACATGAATTATCAAATCTGAATACTCCTGAGTACTCGCTACTCGGTAGTCGGCCGAACAGGTACCGAATAACGAGTTCTACAAGCTTGCCTAACACAAATTAACAAAAACTACATCATGACTAAATAGAGTGGTCCAAGGACCAATTTTGCTTCACTAACGTTGATCCGGTTCAATTGTTCAGCACGTGAGGGCCCAAATTTACAATATAAATTGGGCCTACATTCTTGGCAAAGGAGGAAACAAAATCCTCTACCATCGATCGCCATCATAATGGAAACAACAGTAGTTTTAGACTTCTACTTATAGTCTTATACCGATTAATTCTTAAACCCATAAATTCAAACTCAAGCCGATTCCTCTACCAAAATTGTAAACCGCCAACATTCCGGTAAAATTTTTAAACACTTTTACTTCCTTTATTATTATTATTTCAATTTCGTATGTTTGGTTATTTGATTATCTAGTGTTTAGTGGTAAAAATTCACGCGATTCAATACTGATTTACAGTTTCTGTAAAAAAAAAGTTTTTTCTGTTTTTGTAATCGAGTAAATCAGAATTTAATTTTTCATTGTTTTTTGAAGTACGTAACTATACAAATTCACACCTAGATTAAGTTTTCTGTTTTTTTCTTTGTGATTAATCACGTTATTTTGATTCATGATCCTTTAGTTTTGTGTAAATTTGGTATTTAGATCGGTTTTTTAAGTGTCATTTGATTTTGTTGATTCTTCTCAGTTTTTCTACTTTTATAATTGAGTAATTGACTTAGCCAATTGTATATTAGGAATGTAGTTTTTTCAAGTAAAAAGCAGGTTTGTTTTTTCGTTTACAGCTTTGTGATTGAGTAATTGTCTTCATGATCTAACATTGTTATCTTTGATTAGTAGGGTAGTGCGTAAAAGAGTTGAGGTAGAGAGATAGAATATCTCTTTTTAGGTCATAAAGAATATCTTGACCATGCCGTTGATCTATAATTTCCAAATACTATTTTTGATCAGAGTATACAAAGATGCTAATTTTTGTATATTCTGTATACATTGCTTTCTCTTCAGGATCTTGTTCATCCTTGTGCTTGTTTTCCCTTTTTCTTGCAATATTTTGTAAAAAAATCGACCATTTGAGAAGGACAGTGTCTCTGTATATGCCAAGATCTTCTATCTCAGTCGTGTAGAATTTGCATCTACCAAGATCTTGAGTATTTATTCTTCTTTTTCAGGTGCAGTCACAATGGGTAAGACGATGAGTACGACTAGAAACCAAAATTATGATGTGCCATGGTCAGATCTTAACCATGATGTGCTTTATTTAGTTATGATGAAACTTGGAGTTGTTAATTTTGTTGCATTCAGTGGAGTTTGCAAGTCATGGAGATCTAGCACTCTCTAACTGGAAGAAGTTTATGGCATCCAGACCACCTCTGTTCATGTCTATATCTCCTTCTCCTCCACCCATGTCCATGTGTATATCTCTTCCTCGTGCTTATAAGAAAACCTGCCACCTACTACAGGACTTTGATGGAAAAAAGTTCAAAACCATCATTCCTCATTCTGCTGGCAGAGAGTGTGTTGGATTAACTTGTGGTTACTTGGTCTTGTTCGGGAAGGAAACCAAAGACTTGTGGCTTGTGAATCCTATCACAAGGCATCAACTTCATTTCCCTTGTGTCCCCTTTGATTTTGATGATTTTCGAAATTCAAAAGTCAGGGCTATCTTGGTCTTTTCACCTTTAGTATCCGGGTGGTTGCTGGTTATTTCAGAGAGTTATGCCAGGAAAATATGGTTTTCAATAGCGGGCAAAGGAGAATGGAATCATGTCTCCTTTTCCTCCAAATTCTACATCATTGATTCCCATGTTTTTAAGGGGAAGATATATACCCTAATCGGCAGTGAAAAGCCAGGAGATGAATATCAGTTATTTGAAATGAGACTCCATCCACATCCCAAATTGACTTTGCTCGAAACAAAGAATTTTCTGAAGCGAACATATCCTCCGATGTTAGGAAGTTGGGGTGAAAACCTTTATTTGATGCACTACTTTTCCCCAGATTTGTACTATTTTCACGAACTAGATTTTGGTAAAATGAAATGGGTGTGTAGTGAAAAGACAAGAAAGGAATATGCATTCTTTTGTAACGTGGAGCATGTTGTTGCTATAAAACCAGAGTCATGGGCTGAGACTAAGAACAGTTGGAATGACCAGTTCAATTATGCAAAGATGTGGTACTTCCCCATGATTGTTTGAATGTTAATCTCATAGATTAGTGATAGACTTGTTAGCAGTACTCCCGTTTTTGTTTTTATCTTTGTATATGTTGTGACAAATTTTTTTCAAGATATTGAGGAGTACCATTCTTTGATTTGGATATTTAAATTTATTGTTTAAAATATTCTGTTGTCACTCACCCTTCGCTTCAAGTGGCAACAACTAACAATTATATCTCCCTTTTATGTGATGAGGGACCTTTTGTTTTTCTTATGATGTAAGCTGAACATGTTATCAAGTGAATGGTGTCACCAACTGGGACGGCCACTATGGATGTAGTGTTTTGTATAAAAGTATCTTCCATATGGGAAATAAGAGTTTCATGATACATTTTGAATTTGCTTAAACGCAAATTGAATTAAAAATATTTATATTTATACTTTGTATTTATTTTTTTCAAAGTTTGATCTTCAACCGTTCAATTCATAAGAGGCGAGTGATGCAACATATCACATATATGAACATACAACTTAAATGAACGTGTACTATGGATCAAAGTGTTTGTAAGATATATCATTCCATACAAATCTTTGTATTTAATCTTGAACGAGCGTTTGGAAATATCTGGTCATATTATATAAACTTTAGTGGTTGATTCAACTAAGGTCCCGTTTGATAGTTTCTGTCTGGGAAAGTGTTGTCTTGTAAAATGCTGTCTGGGAAAGTTTTCTGACTGGGAAAGAAACCATGTTGTTTTATTGTACATCTGATTGACTGTGCTGAATGATGAAAAAAACATGCGATTCACGGAAATTCTACGACCTTTTCATAAAAAGGGGTTTTACTTAAACATAAAATTACACATATAAGTGCGACGATTTACTTACTCGTACCAAGCCTTGTTTCGGTTAAAACTACAACAAACCTTTCAGAAAATATTGGATTTTCTGGTAATAAAACTTTAAAGAAGCAACATTTATTTTCTTTATATAAATCGCTTATGCACTCACCAGCTTTATGCTGATACTCACTTTTCAAAACAACTTGTATTCTCAGGTAATCAGTGATTCATGTAACTACAAGATTTCTGAAGTCAAGACGCTAAGGCGTAGATTCTTTTGCCACATTTTATCATCATATGTAATTTATTTGGAAACATGTATTTTGGAAACAATGTAACCTTTTAAATTATATCTATGATGGTTGTGTTTAACTTTCTTCACTATGGTTATGATACTGAGCATGACGTCATCCGCCCCCGAACGTTTCCGCCGTTCTGGTTTGGGGGTGTGACAGATTGGTATCAGAGCTTCGTTTATAGTGAACTAAGTATATCGAACCACGTAGGAAATACAAACTATAAATACAACGGGACCAAATTTCTCTGACGTAGCTTTTCAAAAATACTTTAAAAATAAAAATTTGTATTTTTATAAAAGTATTCGCACAATCGCACATTCAGTATCATAATGGCAATAACATAAAAGTATCAAGACAAGTTGGACACCATAGTCTAGCTTCGGGGTATGTAGTCAGATCTTGGATGAATATAGCCTGATCAACTATATTCAGCCAAGATAGGACCAATGTATGCCGAAGAAGGATCATGGTGAGCAACAAGTCTGCAACTTACCAAAAATTTCAAGAATCAAACATAAAAATACTATAGGAGTATTTTAACACAAAAAGTCGTAATCACAACTTCGACAACTAACTTCTTGTTCCCAAAGTTTCTCGCGACATTCCTCCTTATCCCCATTCTCGTACAGGTACGATGGCAGGATTCCACTTACCAGGTGATCCCTACTTTCCCAACCAAGGGAATGCCGGTTGGATTGTGGAAGACCCAGAGGAAGAACCCGAAGAAGAGCCCATGGAGGACGAGGAACCCATGGAAGAAGAAGAATCCGTAGACGATGAAGAGGAAGAAGACTCAGATGGAACCGACTCCGAAGCCGAAGTTTACAATCCACACCCTGCCCCTAATCCTCCGCGACACTTCCAGGGCCCGACGGCCCAATGGGCTGAAACTATACATCGATGGAGCCGAGAACAAGGTCAACGACCTCCCTATGGCATGCAACGAGGCTTCTACGATCTCAGCAGAGGAGGGTCAGCCGATCGAGCCCTCCCTGTCATAGTTCACCGTGTCACACGCCACGAAGAGCAAACAAGAGTTAACACCCAACATCTCATGGAGGTTGGTGCTACCATCCAAGTCAACTCCGTTCGCATTCGCCGGTTGGACGACGACCACGATCAGACTCGAGACCGCACCGAGCTTCTTCGACGGGAAATGGCTGCAACCCGAACGGAAGTACAAGAACTCCGAGAGCACCGAGCCGCTCTAGAGGGACGTCTGGCTGAAGCGGAGCGCCAAGCGGCGGAATCCAAAGCCGAGATAAGGAACCTTGTATCTACACTTCGTGATCCTCAGAGCTTCAACCACCGCAAGTAGTGCTTGCACTGCTCGCTCCAGTTTAATTTAGTTTTGCGGATAAATATCACTTTCTAGTATTTTATGTTCAATCTCGCGATTTAAGTGTTTACACTTCCGGGATCAGTTAGGCGGCCGAAATTTTCCGTACATTGATGTAGCATAGACCCCTAGTAGGGTCAAATTTTCCAAGTATTGTATACTAAGTTATATCAATGATATTGGCACGCTATTTGCTTTATTAACACTACTCCAAATTCATAACATGAACTATTTTCAGATAAAATTTATTGGTGACCAACCTATGATCGCCCGAGGTATAAATCAAAGTTATATGTAATTGAGGCCATGTCGACCTAGAAATGGTGGTTCCGCCTTGGATCCTGTTCCTTGTTTGGTTGTGGGCCCAGGGCAGGCCCATTAGATTCGAAAGTTTATTTAATCTTAATTACATGTAAATATTATACATCAAGTGATTGTTGGTTGGACCCGGTATGGATACTATCACAGACATTTCATGAAAATCAATACTACCGAAATTCATAAAGTCTATATTTCATTGTTTATAGACTTCTAGTATGAATAAGATTCTTACAACATTCTTACAAGTCGGAATCATGATGCATATAAAGAACTAATAATGGTTAGTTTAACACTCGACTTGTATCAAAGACTTATTGTCTTTTCATTCTTGATTATGGCAGAAAATGCCACCTCGTAGAAATCCTAGACGCGGCGACGCAGCTGAGACTGCACCACCCCCACCACCACCTCCTCAGTTCGACCCAGCCATGTTCCAGGCTGCGGTGGCGGCCGCAGTGGCAGCCGTGATAGCCCAAATCAACCCCAGTAATTCAGGAGGTGCAGGCAGTGGTGCCTCGAATTCTAATAACGGGGACGACCAGGGACGCTCGAGAGAGTGTACCTACAAAGAGGTGTCATAGCGTTGCTACAATGGTTTAGGAAAACCGAGACCGTTTTCGAAATATGCGCATGCCCTGAAGCAAGCAAGGTCAAATTTGCTTCATGCACATTCTCCGAAAGAGCCCTCACCTGGTAGAAGGGTCACGTCAGGGCACTAACGCTCCCGGTGGCTAATGCGATAACATGGGAAGACCTGAAAACCATGTTAATGAAGGAGTATTGCCCCAGGGGTGAGATACAGAAGCTGGAAGAAGAATTTTGGGGTCTTAAAATGACAGACTCTGACATCCTGTCGTACACCTCAAGGTTCAGCGATCTAGCCATGATGTGTCCCGGGATGGTTCCTACTGAAAGCAAGAAGGTGGAAAGATACGTATGGGGATTATCTCAACAACTCCAAGGACACGTACTGGCCTCAAAGCCAACTACCTTCGACAGTGCCAAGGAACTGGCACAACAACTCATCGACCATAACGCCAGCCATGGCACTGTAACGACCACCTCCGAGCAAGAAAAAGGGGGAAACAACAAAAGGAAGTTCTGGGATAAGAAGAAGGGCCAACCTACCCAAGACCCTGCCAAGAAACAACAAGTGGTTGCTGTGCACGCTGCCACGACCCCTACCAACCCTACTCCGATAAGGCAATACGTCGGGAACCTACCCAAGTGCAACAAATGCAACTACCACCACAACGGTGCATGTCGTGAAATGCATTGCACCAACTGTAACAAGAAGGGGCACACCGCCCGATTCTGTAGAACTCCAGCCCAACCGAACGCACAAGCTGCCAACGCCGGAGCAAGCCGAACCTGCTATGGATGTGGAGAAGCTGGACACCTCAAACGTAACTGCCCGAAGGCAAGAAACCCCAACCCCGGCGAAGTGGGCAGAGTTCTGGCGATAGGTCATGAGGAAGCCGTCGCAGATCCAACTGTAGTTACCGGTACGTTTCCCCTCAACAATACCTATGCATGCATTCTATTCGATAGTGGCGCGGAGAAAAGCTTTGTGAGCCACCAATTTAAATGCTTGCTTAATCAAACACCACAAACACTAAAAGACTCATTCACCGTAGAAATGGCTAACGGAAAAACAGAGAACACTAACGATATTTACACCGGGTGTACCCTCACCTTAAATAATCACTCTTTCCAAATCGACCTTATGCCGGTCACCATAAAAAGTTTTGACGTTATCATTGGCATGGATTGGTTATGCCCTCACCATGCGGAAATCCTATGTCACGAAAAGGCCGTTCGCCTTAATCTGCCAAGTGGCGAAGCTCTCGTCGTTTATGGCGACAAACCCAACTCAAACTTTCAGATCATCTCTTGTATCAAGGCTCAAAAGTATCTCCGCAAGGAGTACCACGCCTTCCTAGCCCACGTCGTAGATAAGGGTCAAGGAATGAAAGACATCAAGGACATTCCGGAGGTCTGCAATTTCCCCGATGTATTCCCGGAAGACCTTCCAGGAGTGCCCCCTCCTCGACAAGTCGAATTCTGAATCGACTTAATTACCGGAGCTACCCCCGTAGCCAAATCGCCACACCGTCTAGCCCCAGCCGAGATGCAGGAACTATCCAGTCAACTGAACGAACTACTGAGCAAAGGCTTCATTAGGCCAAGCTTCTCGCCTTGGGGAGCACCGGTTTTGTTCATTAAGAAGAAGGATGGA